GTTATTGTCATTATACCGTTGTTTGGCTAAATTCCGCACTACCCGGGTTCCCGATCCTAACACTGTCGCAATAAGCGATCCCTCCATGCAAAAAGAATGACACAATTTGGATTACAAAGGTCAAACAAGTCTAATTATTGTATATTAGAAACTAGCAAGAAGTAATGTAGCCTTTCTTTTTATGAACAAGATAACATGTATATTATTAACAATGAAAGCAGCCTTAGCACAATTAAACCTAGCATATTTAAGAACGTATTCAAGAAAATCTTAATGGAAAAATTAGTTGGCTCTCCAAATAGTGTGTCATTTATAAAATGGATCAGAGGAATGCTCACTCTTGGTTCAAACTTCCACCCTCTTGGTTAGAAGTTGATCATGTAACCAGAGCAACCTCACTTGCAACCCAATTCATGAGAGGAAAAAAGTCTCAACTCTCAAGAAATTTGTCTACATCTTAAATAACTTCTATATAATAATAATAATAATAATAATTTCTATCGGCTTTCAAGCAATTTAATTTTAATATATTGCTCCTCTTCACTGGTGACTGGTAAAGCTTTGGCTCTGAAAATGCAGCTCCTGAAACAGCACATGTTTTCATATATAGAAGCTTCTTCCTCGTGCATTCATGTATAACTCATTCGCTCAGATAAAGCGGAGGAATTATACTCGCATAAAGTCTATATAGAAGGTGTAAGTAACAAGTGCATACTTTCTAATAAATATTCACAACATAAATGTGGTAAGAAAGAAACCTTTCTCCAAAATGGTATGAGCAGCATGAAAAGGGATATTGGCAAATACATCAGCTCCCGGGAACATGACCCAAGTCTTCTCCTTTGAATCATGATTACCACAGGTTGGACAAACCTCTTTCACTAGTGGTCTTGATTCAACATCCCTCATAAGAGACTCAAACGGTGTAGGAACGCTAGTTTTTGTCGTCTTGGCCCTCCTCCTTAGTGCAGTTAATGCTTCCCTGTTCCCATTCCTCACTCTATCATTTTCAATTAACTGCATCACATTACACATAGTTTGTTTATACATTTGATCAGAAACTATTTTGCTTCAACCTAGAGGGCATTTCAAGTACCTGTTGCCGAGCTAATAAAAGTTTTTCAGCTTCTATTTCAACCTCAATAAGCTTTTCTTGCAATTGTTTCATTGAGTCGTCCATTGATCTCTGAAATAGCAATAACAGTTATGAGTGTCCTCGACTTTCCACAAACTAATTCATCAAGTTTCTATGCACAAAACAACTCTGGCAAAATAACTTTGGAAGTAATGTCAGAGTGTAAGGGGAAGGAATTAGAAATAGAAGTTTAATCTCCACCAATTATATTCTCTAATACAATCAGACACACTTCCGCATTCGTTTGATACAGTTATGCAGATACACAAATAAATAAGTCATAATTTGTGATACTCATCAACAATAACAACAACAACAACAAAAAATAGTACTCCTAACGAACTTGCATAAAAAAAGAGAGGAAATCATGAAGTATTAAGATGCTTTAATAATCAGAATCTATATGTCATTAGAAAGAGGTGAGGGGAGAGCTTTACAGCTTACAGAGTGCCGAGGGACGAAGGAGAAACTTTGAGCTCGCCGGCTGCTTTGCGGAGTTCAAGTTGGGTTTTGCCAGTAAGGAATTCCGGTGTGAGTATCACCCTGAGAAGCAGCGATTTTGGAATCAGGGTTTCTACTAAATCCGGCTGCGGTTGGGAGCTATTATTTGTAGCAACCTATATTTTTACTCTATATTCATTGGCGAAATATATTTCACTAAACAATATTTACTTGCGACAAAGGAAATCAATTCTTAAAGAATGAGGTCTCTTGTCTTTTTTTGTTTTTCTCTTTCATCTTTTGGGGAAACTTTTTCTTTTTTTTAGAAAAAACGAGGGTTTGCCGGATTTTCTCTGTTTATGTGTCTTGCAACAACATGGATTCAAATTCAAGTCACAGATAGAGAACTTGGTTTGAATACAAAACAAAGATCCAAAGGAGCAATTGCAAGCACAAATTGCAGAAGTAAAAGCAGCTTGGAATCAAGTAATCAGGGATTGTTTTTGAGCTTGTGGTTTATTGGCCTGAAATTTCCATACAGAAGCTGCTATATTTAATAGTGAAACATCTTATTCAAAAAGCCCACTCACATAATCACCTGTGTCAATACTAATCATAACCAAAATGTATAAGTTCGCCAAAATGAAAATATGACATATGAAAAAAGTTTAATTACAAGGTACAATCACAGATTTTTAATTCTATACTCTGGTGATGATTTGAATCATTACTTTAACGTTATGACTCCTCCTTGTGTTGTGACTTGAATATGCACCAAAACTTTCATTTTTAGAACAACAATATGGAAAATTCACCACTAACATTTAACTCAACCAATCTGCCCCAACTTTTTTTTAACATCATCTAACTCCATGGAAGATGGCAGCAATCAATTTTGTCATTGCATAATTTTGCCCAGTTCGACTAAAGCTAATGCCTTTCACAACCAATGATTTCAATTTGTAGTCAAACTTCACCATTATTCCTTATTTAGTAGTGTAAATGAGCAGCTTTCAGTCATATAGATTCAGCATCACAGTATAGGAACAAGCACATAGTGGAATAACTCATTCAGGCAAATGAGCAGACACCTTATGGCCATCTCTTTAAACTAAAGAAAGAACAGACAAACCTTGGTAAAGAACCTACTTTGTAAACATAATAAAGAACAGAAATATCTTGGTAAAGAACCTACCCCTTTGCACGCGTGCCCCGTTTTCCAGAGTCCACAATCAGTCGCAATTTTTTGCGGACAAACACAGAAAATAGTGAACCAAAATTTATCCAATTTAAACATTTTCTACCTAGCAGCGATTCCGAAAATCAGAAAAATAAGAAAGCAAAACTCACCTTATAACTATACAACCAAGCACATAAATTGAGTAGGAAAAGAGAAGACTTGAAGGGACAAAGAAAACTGGAAGAGGAGTTGAACAATTATGAGATTCTGGAGGAAGAAGCTGGGGGACGGCCTTCAGTTTGAACCAAGTTTGAAGACGGCGAATTAGTGCAGCCAGCGTGGCTTAGGCCAATATATATATACAGTTTTCCTAAAATTAATAAGAGGACTACCTATTTTATCAATTTAATAGCTTAATATATTTACAAGGCATAATTTGTGATAAATTATGACAAAAAAATTGGTAATTATTGATAAGTCAAATATAATACTAGTTAGTAACTTTATCAGTTATTATATAGTAATATTATTAAACCATAATATTAAATACAATCTATCGGGCCGGCTCAACAAGATTGGAGGCTTAAAGCCAAACTTCACAGAGAAGACCTAAATTATTTATTTTTTTAAAAAAAAAGATTATCATATATATTTTTATTTAAACTCTACTTTTCTAGCTTTTTAGATATAAAATCATTAATTATTATCTTATAATCGATTTGTTTTAATTATTATCATTAATCGATTTGTTCTTACATTTTCTCTTTTTGCATAACCAGATTCATATTTTCTAGTTGACATATTTAAATTGAATAAAATCTAATAATAACTAAAACAAGAATATATAATTAGGAGGTAAGAATATCAATAATGACAAATTTTCAATGAAAAAATATAATATAAAGTTAGAAAAATAAAACATGGCTCAAGAATTTGATAGGTTGATATAACGATATCGAAATAGTCGTTCCCTGCTTCAAAATAACGATTGCTTTTGTCTTGTTGCAATGCTTGAAATTTTGAAGAAACACCAAAAGCAAACTTTGATCTTTTGTGAGCACACAACAATAAGTTTTCTGGAATGGAATACAGGAATAATTAATAAGAAGAGAGTAAGAATAAGTGAAAGAGAGAATAGAGAATGAAAAAGATAAATATAGGAATAGTCATGTGGGCTCATGCTAGTTAGGATATAATTGAGGCAAGAAATTAGGCACCGAAAGTAAAATAAAATTACCTAAAGATTTATTTCATTCTCCAATTAATGCAACGATCTCCACATAAAAGGTAAAAAGTTATTTTCTTCCAAAAATTTCGTTTCAACAATATATGTACATACGTCTTTAGAAAAAATGGGACCCCAAAAAAGATTGGGCCATTGCTTTAGTTGCCTTATAGTTCAGCTGGTCGCAATTTATTCAAATATTATATCCACTATATAATATATTATGAAACAATTGGTAACAAACTATAAGGAAAAGAAAAAGTTCTTTTTCGCTTTTTGAAATTTTTCGTAAGACTAGCTTTAGATGAATTCTCTATAACACTGTTGGACAAAGAAACTCGCTGAAGTGTGGGGTAGCTGATTCAAGTCTTACTTTTAGTTGCAATAAATAAATCTTATAGGAAAAAACCCTCAAATTTAGCAAACATTTGCACACGGCTGCTTACTGAAAGCGCATATCCATCTCTACTCTCTAGCCTTGTGTATGTTACAGGACAATAATCACGCTTATATAGCTGGCTGTATGGGGCTTCTGTGAAAAAAATTAATTTAATTTTTATGACAACATATCATTCACACAGTTGCGAATCCAGATTTTCAAGGGACACCAAAACAGGACGAAACCTAGAAGTGAGCAGATTAGTATTCAACTTTTCAAGTTGAGCATTGGAAAATATAAAAGACTAAGAGAGTACGTGGTTTGTTACAAGTAAGAGACAAGGAAGCATTTTTTTTTTAAGTAGAAAGATGATTCAACATATACTCCAAGTAGTAATAAACTGAATATTCCATTTATTGCACTTCATCTTCCCATGTTTATTTTTCCTGAGCGCGCAAAATCACACCATTAGTTGAGGCATGAATACGCCAAGGACTTTTCCTCGATCAATTCCTTCGCGGTTGCGTCCATCTTGGCTCTTGAAAACTCATCTATCTTCAGACCTGCATCATAGAACACAGAAAGTCTTTAGACAAGCTCAAACAAAAGATGTTCACTAGCCTGAGTACTAAATTATTTTTAAAATAATGGCGGTGTATGGGCCATCTTGCGCGAGCTTGACTAGCGCTGGATAACTCTCTCCACTAAGTCTTAGACAAATAGGATGAAATCACCTAGCTTTTCTTGCCTCTTGAGCGAGTACTAAAATGACACCACAAACTAACCTTGCACAATTGACCATTCTCCTTTCTCACAAGTAACTGGGAAAGAGTAAATTAAGCCAGGTGGGATGCCATAAGATCCATCAGAGTAGACCCCCATTGAAACCCATGTTCCCTACACAAAAAATGTAAGAAAAATTTAGTCAGATGACCGACGTGACATATGCATTCTATACATGTAAGTGTTATAACTATACAGAACGATAAATGGGATACTGAACCTTTGGAGTGCCCAGAACCCAATTACGTATATGATCACAAGCTGAGCTAGCAGCAGATAATGCACTTGATAGCTTTCGAGCTTTTATGATGGCCGCTCCTCGCTGCTGCACTGTGGTGATAAACTCTGTGTTCAACCTAACATTTTCAGGAAAGTTTATTTATTACTGATTTGATCTTCTTATTTTGATTATATACTTTCTTGTATTTGAGGTATAAAGTTATGGAGAGCATGTCTGCCTAAAGTTGTTAAGATATGAAAATAAGACTTAATAATTGAATAGAGCAATTTACCATTGATCATTAGCCACAAGTTCTCTGACAGACTTTTCACCACTAGTGGTTTTTACTGTTGCATGATTCACATCTGGATACTGAGTTGAAGAGTGATTTCCCCATATTGTGACATTCTTTACATCTCCAACATGAACATTTAGCCTCTCTGAAACCTGACCTAAAGCTCTGTTGTGATCAAGCCTTGTTAGGCAAGTGATGTTTTTCTCCGGAAAGGAAGGGGCAAACTCTTTCAGTATAAGCGCATTTGTGTTAGCTGGATTCGCAACAACCAAAACCTGCAACAATTGCAGACCACGATAAACATGTCAATTTTCAAAGATGAACTAAGTCAATCGAAGAAAATAAAAAACCTTTGAGCTCATGTTGTCTTCACAGATTACAAATATATTTTTTACCTTGCAATCAGGGGCAGCATGCTGTTCTAAGGCAGAGGCCTGTGCCTTATAAATCGAAACATTTTTGGACATCACATCCTTTCTTTCCATCCCTTCCTTTCTTGGAAATCCACCAACCATAACAGCAACATTGACATCTTTACAAGCTTCAACAACATCTGTTGTAGCAACAACACCTATAGAACAATAACATTCAATAAAGGAAAATAGCTGTCTGAATGCTTTTCTCTTCTACTGTTTGACCTTCCGCTCATTTGTACTGTTTGGTAAAATTTAGTGAAATTAAAGAGTTTCTTACCTTTGAGAAGAGGCAAAGCTGCATCAATCAATTCCATTTTCACTCCTTTCAAGGCCTCAGCAGCAGGTTCAATATCAAGCATGTGTATGATAACAGGTTGATCAGGGCCTAACATGGCTCCTCGAGCAATCATCGGAACAAGAGCATATCCAATTTGACCTGTTACAACAAGTTCAAACCAACAGGAAGCATCATCATACAGTATTCATCTTATGCCATAACTCCGAGTACTAAAGGACAAATTAAAGGGCCTATAATTTTTTTAATCGGAATGTCTTGGCACCATTCTGGAATGTGATGGACTTAAGTGGAGCGACATGAGCAGTGAGAATTCATATAGCGGACACGACTGTGCTAATTCACTAAATCCTTGTTAACTAATCAACAAAATCCACTTTTAGAATTTCTTATAGCATGTTACATTTTTCGTGATCACAGTTTGACTGATGACTAGCTTGATAATTTAGTTTTAAGATCTAAGGAAATCCAGATTATTTTCAATCCAACTCCTTCTTGTAGTGAATCTAAATTGATAGCACCTGAACGCTGATGAATTTTAATCTACTCATCTGAGTTTTAACACAGTCATACTATCTTATAGTCATGTTCTTGTCAAATACTGTGTGATTACCAACATAGTTTATATTTTCCTGACTTCTATATATGAGTTGTATCACAGGGGACCTTGATCAAAACATTCAGAAGCTTACCAGGGTAAAAGGAAGAAAAACTTAAACATCAAGATAACAAAGTAAATGTTCACATTACAGAAAATAGATGCGGCAAGCGATAGAATGAAAATAAATTAATTAACATGCCTGCAGCACCAGTAACAAGTACTGTAATGGGATCCTTTTCTATATTCAAGAAGCTCCATATGTGTCTAACAATCTTCCATGACAAAAACGCACAACCCAACAAAACAAGAGGCTTTTCCATCGATCCCAAATATTCCATTTTAAGAAGTAAATAGACAGAGAGAAAATTCTCAAAAGTTCACACGATAATCGGAATTAATTAGAACTGTAACATAGAACCCCATGTGATTTAAAGGGAAAAAAAGGAATTTTCACAAAAAAAAAAAAAAAAAAAAAAAAGAAGAAGTTTGAAGACAAGGCAAACAAATGACAAAGACAAAATCCACAAGCTATGAAATAGAATAGTAACTCATCCTTGTCAAGAAAAGAACCTGATACAAATACCAAAATGAGAACTAATGGTATATAATCATGGCGTAAAAAAAACGTACCGGCGGCTCCAGTGACAAGAACTCTAGTAGGTTGTTTTGCCATGGTTGAAAAAATGCAGAGCCTGAGTAGAGAATATTATGAAGGTTAATGTGTTACTTATGATTTTACAATGTTAAAGGTCTGTTGATATAGATTATGAGAAGTAGAGTATCGAGGTATTAAGAAATCCAAGTGAGAACTTATAGGGATAAGTTGCCTAGATTATAGGATATGGCCATCAAAAGCAGTTGTAGTAATCACAGGAAAAGCTGAATGTTCGTTGCTGCCTCACGGACTTGGCATTAATCGGACTAGTTCAAATTTTAATTTGGAGGACGCCTGAGACGATAACTGTGCTACCGTGCAGTGACTTTTTCCTTGTGATTGTTTTTTCTCTTTCTCTTTGAGAAGACAGAATATTTAACGAATAGATTTATTCTAAATATTAAACTTTATTTTATTTAATCAAAATCTATAGATCTCTTTTTAATTAATCAGTTGCAAAAAGGATT